ATGATTTTCACTGCTCTGTGCTTTATTCTGTGCAAAAGTAGTAGAAACGCTGAAAAAGGTAAAAATTTCACGCCCTGGCACGTGAAAGCTGAATCTGAAACCTCGAAGAGTGAATATCTTTCCATAATTTCAATCCCCTAATTTTCTGGCTTTCGAATGATCTTTGTGACAAAACTCTCATGGAGTCGTAAGTGAGACCTCCACATATTTAGGGACTAAATTCGAGCTTGTGAAGCCCCTGCTTCCAAACTCTTCTGGCTCCCGAGATAATGATTTCTCTCGCCAAAACCTCTGCGGGGGCGTTCAAAACTTTCGGGGTTGCACGTGAGCAGAAGATGCTGTACTAAAATTTCAACTTCCTAGCTTTCGCAGTTCACGAGACAATTTTTCTGCTAAAACTTCCGTGAGGCTGTGCTTGGTACCAAGGCTGCGTGAAGGCTGAATCTAAATTTATGGTAGTCATACGCTGACACGGCACATCGCCTTAAAATTTCAGATTCCCAACTTTCGTGTTTCCCGTCGAAACTTTCACAGGGCCGTAAGTGACACCTAAACAAGCGAGAAGGCTGAATTTAAATATGCGTAGTCGTATTTGGGTGGAGCCATTGCCGCAAAATTTCAGCTTCATAGGTTTTTTGGTTCCCGAGATAACAATGTACTCGCCAAAATTTTCACGACGCTTTTCGTGCTACCCACGGGCAGGAGAAGGGTAAATTTAAACTTTCTGGGTCGCATGTGGGCAGGTGACATGGGCACAAAATTTCAGCCTTCTAGCTTCCGTGGCTCTCGTGATAATAATTTTATCCGCCCGAACTTTTACGGGGCCGTACGTGTTACCCGGAGGTGCGGGGAGGCTGGATTTAAATTTTGCGCGGTCACACGCGGGTGGGAAACGTTCCTCCAAATTTTTAGCTTCCTAGCTTTTCTGGTTCCTTAGTTGAAAGTTGCGGACAAATTGCTGCAGATACACATACAAACACACACAGACAACTCCGTGACAATATGCTTTTTGTACTGCTGTTACATAGCACAAAACGCATAAAAATGCTGGAATCTCACTTTGGGCCGCACTTTATCCCGAGTTGCAGTTCATTTCCATCCTATTTTATTTGCAACTAGTGCTAAAACGCTCTTGTTCTGAATCACAGTTTTCTGTTATAAACTGTAGTTCGCCATTCAACCAATGGATAGATTCGATCTGCCATCCGAGTGGCCGCTGCACTTTGGGTACCGCTCGGTGATATGTAGTTTAATTGGTGCAACGAAAATGGCACTAGGCTAAAATTCTAATGCGTTTTATCGAGAATGGATCAAGTTTTTAACCCGTGACTATCACTCACAAATTAATAGCTTACGTAAGCGACGTGGTGTGCACAGGTTGCATACGTTCGTAAATTTTGAAAAGAACATTTCGATTAGAAAAATTCGTTAGCACAATATGATGCAAGTAAAGTGGTGCCGGCTGAATTTTCGTTCGTCCAGAAAGCAACGCCGAAAAATATTTCACATATCTGAAATACTCAAATTTTAGAGAAAGCAAAAGTTGTTTGATAAAATTTAGCGGGAAAAAATGCATTCAGGATTCCTTTTTTTTTCACTTTCTATGAGGGACGGAGGTACTCGAGCGTACCGGACGTAAGTGCCACCAATAGCAACCTGCTGGCAAGGCTGTTAATGAATTCCTTTTCCAAAGGCTCCCTTAAAAGTAAGCTGAAAGCGATTTTGATTTCATGCAATTTACCAGCGAAAGCAAACCTAGTAGAAAGCGTACCGGCTGCCGGTACGAGAATGCGTTTTTTGCACAGTTCCCCCCGCAGGTTTTTTTCGCCAGCGGCACGTTCTTCCTGGCAGATGGTTCTAGCTAAAAGAATTAGGACTGCCCACTACAACTGTTAGAAATTATTACAATGACTCCCAATCCATGCCCAGAAGATCCAGTGCTCTAG